GGGGGGGCAGGTCCTTGTGACTTCACCAGGAAGAATTGGAGCCAAACACACGACAGCAAACAAAACGTTTAATAGAGAGAGTGAAAGGAGAGGGTTATGTCCAGCACCAACCGCCTCAAGTTGAGGCCGGTGGGGTGCTCGCAGGTCTAACCGAGTCCTGTGTTCTTCCTGCCTTGATTTGCCCGTCTCCCCTAAATCGGACCCTTCGGCGAGGCCCCAGCCACTTCCTCTGTGAGGGCCTGGACCCAGAGTGGTTACGACATCGTTGGTGGCAAGAGATAACGACGTCACTTATCTGAAAACCACAGGAGCTACAGCTGGGGTCTGGTTGTAGGAGACCCCACGGGTCTGACACTCACCTGTTTTAGTGAGGGCCCCGGGACTTTCACAGGCCCCTCCAGGGGTCCCAGTTCTCTGCAGCCTGGGGAAGGCCGGGCACTGCAGAGCTCATGTCCCAGCACCTGCCTGTTCAGAGAACGTCCCCCACGGCTTCGGTTGTCCGGCTCCTGAGTGCTTCTGGGTGCACAGGCCTGAAGTCCACTCTCAACCTGGGTGAGGCACAGAGTCACCCAGGGCAGCGAATCTCCAAGAGTGTGATCCCAAGACCCACAGCACGAGGGGTACCTGGGGGTGGGTGGGCAGTGCAGATTGTCAGAGCCTGTCCCAGACCTCCTCCTTCAGACCTGAGGGTGGAGCCCGGTCTTCAGGATTATAATGTCCCTCCAGGTGACTCCAATGCTTTATTTATTTATATATTGTGCTACTAGCCACTGAACCCCGGGGCGCTCTACCACGGAGCCACATCCCCGCCCCTTTTTATTTTCAGAGGAGGTCTCGCTGATTGCCGAGGCTGGCCTTGAACTCGCGATCCTCCTGCCTCAGCCTCCCAAGCCGCTGGGATCAGAGGCGTGCACCCCTTTCCGCCCTGCTCAGGGCTCCTTAAATGCTGAACACGTCTTCGCGGAAGAAACAGCTGTCCCTGTTCTCATGGCCCAGAACGTGGTGCAAGTCCTTCTAAGAAGGCTCCAAGAAATCAGAACACGGAATTTTCCAAGACCTCACACCCAAGCCCTTCCACGAAGCTGATGACTTCCGTCTCTGTGGCACTGGAACCGGCTTTCTGCAAAAGGAAACGTCCGTCCTTAGATGTCTCTGAGCAAACACCTCATCTCTCCAAACTCTTTATGATTCAAGTGATTTTAAAAAATAAAAATAGAGTGAATGTTGAAGAAACTAGAAAAGTAGGGAGAAGAGAAAAATAAAACCTACCCATCACCCACCGCTGTCTCAGCACCTTTACTAAACATTAAGCTTTCTGTACATTTGTGACTAAGTCATAGGGCTGCCCAGTTTTCCGTATTTTGGGTGCTGGGGATTGAACCCCAGGTCTCATCCTTGCTAAGCATGCAGTGTATACCCAGTATATACTCCAGCCATCCGGCGGCTTTGCAAATTCCTTTCTTTCTCTGTAACATAATGTGGTATTTTAAAAATGGCTATATGTTCTTTGGCTTTGTGATCACTCATATTCTTCCACTGTCCGTTATAATATTCCCCTTGATTTGGACATTGGTTATGCACAGTTTTGGGCTCCAACACAATGCAGATAATTGGAAAGTCTGGAACCTTCTAATTGTGGATGGCCCTCTGGTTAGATAGAAAGCAGACTCTAATCAATTAAAAGCTCAGCATAAGTTTATTTTTTTTTTCTTAAATAAGTGCCCCCTGATTTTGTCACCCTGTAAGGTCACCTGATCTCCTTGCTTCACTGTCTCTTGAATGTTCCTGTTTCTGAGGTCTGAGCGAGCCCCTGCTTAATCAGAGCTGTGAGCTGGCAGAGATCCCCTAAGTCCCCAGTCGTTGGGCACCCAGAACCGAGCTCTGTGCCCACTACCGTCGCCGGTCCTCTAGAATCCCTGAATCCTGCATCTGCAGGTCCAACCAACTCCAGAACAAAAATATTTGAGGAAAATTAAAAAAAAAAAAAAAAAAAAACAACCTGCGTCTGTCCTGAACCTGTATGAACTTGGCTTTCTTTGTCGTTTCTCCCTGAAGAGTGCAGTGAGACCGTTTCCTACCCAGCAGTTGCACAAGGTCAGGCATTAGACTGGAAAGGATGCACAGAGGTTCTGTGCAAATACCGCCCCCTTTTATATAAAGGATTTGAACATCTGTGGCTTCTGCAATCCACAGTGAGCCTTGGAGCAAATCCCCCGTGGACGCTGGGGGACAGCAGCAGAATTGAAAGTTGAGGGTTCCCTTCTCACTAGCCGGTCCCTTGTGGGTGGTCGCTGCCAGTAACACTGGTGGGTCCCCTTGTTCTTACAGCAGAGGCCCCAAGAGTAGGACAGAGGGCTTTTGCCTTTGGAGATAGGGGTTGGGTCCCTGCCGCATGTCATTCAGCTGTGGCCAGCCCCATGAGCACTGTGGTTGGGAATCTAGGCCACAGGGCTGATCGCACCGGACCACACCATTCTCTCTCTCTCTTTCTCTCTCTCTCTCTCCTCTTGAAAACAGACAGGGAGATCAACGAAATCAAAGATAGAGTGCAGCAGTGTAATAGAAACGTGATTCACCACCAAGATGCCGAGACACTTCACCTGGGGAAGGAGGTGCTGAACTGAAGATCATGGGCCGAGGCTGTGGCTCAGCGGTACAGAGCTTGCCCGGGCAGGCCAGGGCGCTCACCATGGGGTGGGACCTTACTGAGACAGCAGTGAACATGTCCAACCCGAATCAGCCAAACAAGACCACTGCAGTGACCGTCCCCCCGCCTCCCGGGGCAGACCCCTGCCTTATCATAGGGAAAGTCCAGAGCTCAGCTTCCCCAGGGCCAGCACCCCGGGCGCTCACGATGCCTCTCGGGACCTTCAGCCTTACCTCACAGTGAGCGGTCACCAGGAGATCTTTGATGTGACTTTTCGGGGCTGGAACAGGTGGAAACAACCTGGCCCACAAGTGACATCTGAAAACAGAAAAAAGGAAGGAGCCGGTGAGCACGGGCGTCTCTCTTGTCCCTCCATGTCTACTCTGAGAGCTGACCTCGTCAGTCCCAGGACTGGGTGATGGATTAACTCAAAACCTTTGCTGATCCAGGGCGGGCATGGTGTGGTGCTCACGCCCGGACATGGCTTGCTTGTTTTTCTCTTCCTGTGACTGCCATTCACCTGCCCCCCCCCCCAGCCCAGAGACGCCATGTGGATAGGACATTTAGGACAGTAAAGCTGTTTCACGTGAAGTTCATTTTCCGAGTTACGAAAGGGCTGAGACAGAACATGCCATGGAGCCTCGGAAGGGCACTTTATCGTACAGAGTGCTACCAGGGATGCAGAGGGGTCTGGGGCCATTTGCAAGCTGCAGGGTCTGCATGGCATTTCCAGGATCTGTGTTGGACCTAACAGCCACCAGCCCCTCGGGGCCAGGTGATGGAAGGGAGCACTTCACCGTTGAGGCTTATGGCATAGAAATGGTAGGTATTTAGAGCTCCATTCCTTGGAGAAAAGTAATAGGTGATTGGTGAGAGCATTTGAATCTATATATATGAGCACGGTTTCCACTCTGTTTCATTGCACCTGTGTTGATTGAAAATTGAAAATTTGGGACTGGGTGGGTTATCAAAGACCCAAAGCAAAAAAAAAAAAAAAAAAAAAAAGCCCAGTTAGCACTGAATGGAAAGGCTACAAGACCAAGGTCAAAAGCTTCACAGAAACAAGGAGGTTACTGAGGAATTTGAGAGTGTGGGCAGTGGCCAAGGGCCACGAGGTGTTCTGGCCAGCGTCTGAGCCAGGCCTGCCGATGCGTCTCGCTATCTATTTGGTTTCCACTGACCTCATAAAGGCCACCCAGAAACAACAACAACAAAAAAATGCTATCAATTTGTCCTGATAAGAAGCACCCTGTGTCCGATGGATGCAGAGACAGAAGACCTACATCCTGCAGAGCAGCGGGCAGATCAACACGGCGAAGCAGGCGGTCACCGTGAGCAGGATGAGCAGCCACTCCATCAGTGGCTTCCGCGCCTCGCTTCCTGGTGGGGGGAAAAGAGAGAAAGATCCGAGTTAGGGATCAGAGATAGAAAGGAGGAAGGTTGAGGCTTGAGGCATCAGGAGGCTGGGGTGTGAGTGGCAAGTGGTGGGTAACGCTGGGCAGGTGGCTTCGCCTTCCTGAGACTGAGATGATCATAGTCCTGCAGTGGCCAAGAGGGTGAAATGGAATGACATAGCAGTGAGGCCACTTTCAATCGAAATGCATTATTGATTCATTTGGCAAGGACTTGCGGAGTCCCATCCGCCTGCACCTGGAGCCCATCCACTGGAGAAGTCAGATTTTTTTTGATGGAAAAGCCCAAAAATAGTTCACAATTAGCAAACTAATTGTAAAAGCAATTTCTTTAAAGAGAGAGAGAGAGAGAATTTTTAATATTTATTTTTTAGTTCTCGGCGGACACAACATCTTTGTTGGTATATGGTGCTGAGGATCGAACCCGGGCTGCACGCATGCCAGGCGAGCGCGCTACTGCTTGAGCCACATCCCCAGCCCTGTAAAAGCATTTTTTACAAAGTTGAAAATTGAACTTGTGGACGGAGTAAGGAGAACATATTTGTAGTTGACACAGTGATCTCAGACTCGGCTGTTAAGTGCTTTATGATCTAGATTCCCCCCAAACCCTCCTTTACCCATATTCCCACTTCACAGATAGGAAAGTAGATGGAAAGGACCATTGGTCCCTGCAGTAAGCATTCGGCATGCATCTCAGTCTCCATCTAAATGTGTTCCTAATCCACACTCCAGGGACAGACACTTGGGGGTTTCAATGATAGCTTTGGGGTATGTGTATCATTTTTTTTTTTTTTTGGTAAGGTACTGGGAATGCGTTCAAGAAAAACCCAAGGCCATTCACTAAGTGGTATTTAAAGAAGCGATGTCCTTAGTCGATGTGGTGGGTGGTGCACACCTGTGGCTAAGGGACTGAGGAAGGAGGATTGTGAGTTTGAGGCCAGTCTCAGTGACTTAGCAAGATTCTGTCTTAGGAAAAAAAAAAAAAAAAAGACTGGGCGTATGCACAGCTCAGCCGTGGAGCAGCCCTGGGTTCAATTCTCAGTACAAAAACAAAGGCAGGCAGAGGGGTGTGTATGGTTGCTAAAATACCTCTATAAAACCTGAGTTAGGTCCCTGAACACAGCAGGTTGCTTTCTGCAGCAACGACCTCTCCTTCATCATCCATCCATCCATTGAACAAGGATTTAGGAGCCTCCTTAGATGTCTGGGGCACTGTCCAAGGTCCTGGGACACATTGATGAAGAGAACAGGTGGGGAAAAACTGCAGGAGGTCAATCATAGCACAGGATATCGGGACACCTGAGCCCAGGTGTGGTGGGGTTCCAAGTGCCCCGGGAGAAGAAGCCTCCAATCCTCAGTTTGCCCTTGACTTGGTCTATAAAATGCGAAATGCGTATACAGGCGGAGAGTTCCAGGCTGTGTAAATAGACGAAGACTTCCCCAAACCCCAGATGACTGAAAACCAGAAAGAAAAACAAAAAGAAAAAAAAAAATCAAGAACCAAGAGGGAGAAGTGTCTTTAGATGGGGCGCCCGTGACTCCTCTCCACCTCATCTCTTGCTTTGAGGGTTTCTGGGGACTCCGATTGAGGTTCCTCTTGTACTTCCCCAAAGCTCTGATCTCTTTACCTTCTGCTTTCGGATATTCACAGAGGTCCTGTCTTGAAGAAGCCGTGGTTTGGCTTGGCCACCTCCTCAAACCTAGCATCAAATGCCTTCTTCCTTCCTCTCCCAGCCCGAGTTTCTAGACTAAAGGATTTGAGCTGCTTCATCTGCCCCATGCAATCCCTGGTGATGTCTTCAAAGCCAAAGCCAAAGGATTCTTGGATTTTTTTCTCCCAAGTCCTGTCTTCCTAACCTCCTTTCTGGTTTTCAGGCTGTCAAAGGTCGAGTCCTCCTTGAAACACGACTGTGGGTTCTGCTACCCAAATGTTCCTTCTCCCCCTTTTGTAATTTCGGCTGGCCCTCTCCGCTCATCCCGTGACCCCTGGATATTTGCAACTATTATCTTTTATCTTATCTTTTAATAAGTCTTCTCCCAGGCCTTTCATCCTGACCCTGCCAGGATGCACAGTTCCAGGTCTAGATCAAAAAGTGCCCATAAACCAGGTTTGGTGGCACACGCCTGTCCTCCCAGCGGCTCAGGAGGCTGAGGCAGGAGGATGGAGAGTTCAAAGCCAGCCTCAGCAAAATCGAGGCGCTAAGCAACTCAGTGAGACCCTGTCTCTCAATAAAATATGACATAAGGCTGGGGATGGGGCTCAGTGATCGAGTGCCCCTGAGTTCAATCCCTGATACCCCCCCCAAAAAAAAAATAAATAAATAAAATAAAACCTCCCATAGATGAAATGCACTTGAGTGTTTTTGCAAAGCTGAGAACAGCCCAACCCAAGTTTGCATCAAAAAAAAAAAAAATAGGGTAGGAAAGAATAAAGGAAGACTGGATTGTGTGGAGGGGAGTCAGGGGAGGGGTGGGGCGGTGGGGGTGGGAAGGATGGTGGGATGAGACAGAGGTTATTACCCTACATACACATGATCACACGACTGGTATAACTCGGTACCATGTACAGCCAGAGGAATGAGAAGTTATGCTCCATGTGTATACAATGTGTCAAAATGCATTCTGCTGTCAAGTGTAACTACTTAGAACAAATTAGCGATCCTGTTGGGGGGGAAAAAAAGCTTTCATTTTGAAATGTTCCGTGTGCATTAGCCTTGGTTTTTAAAATTAGGGAGGACACCCTCGGAGGGGCATGACCTTTTATTTTTCCAAATCTCACCCATGCTCATCAGTGGTAGGATTCACTTCTGCAAATGAAGCGCCCCGGTGAAGCCGACCTTGACCACACTTGCTCATAGCTAAAGAGCAAACGGGGGTGAATTGATAGCATCCCCTCCAATACTGTCTCACTCCACGTCCCACTCTTCTTGTCTGAAAAAAAGGAATTCGGCTTCCACCTTGTTCCCTCAACATAAACCATCCCCCTCTCTTTCCTCATCAGGCAAGAACCCTAATGAGTCTATCCAGAGATGCTGGACTCGTCAGCGCGGATGCGAGTCCTGTACCGAGTCTGCCAATCAAGAAGAAAGGTACCTGTTTACAACTAGGTTCAGCGGACAGAGAAAGCCGGGGTGCCATAGAAAGAAGAAGCAGTGTTGTAAATATTATCAGGCTCACGCACGCGCACACACACACACACACACACACACACACACACACACACACGGCCATGTTTGCGGCTCACATTGTGTAACACCCACTAGCCCGATATGTCAAGTCCTGATAATAGCACCGTTGTTTTGTGACCATGATTACAAAGATCTTTTCAGTTAAACCACCCTCTGGTTATTGAGTTCAGCTCTCCCTTTGATAAGCAAAGATTCTCCCGTTATTAGCAAAAAAGATCGAGGCCCCCGATTTCATTTCATTCCATCAGAAAAAAACAATGTTATCCATGCACGTTAAGGTGCCGTGCTGCAGGGCTTGGGGGGGAGTTTGGCAAGGGGGTTATGGCCGCTGGCCTGACTCCGGCAGGGTCTACTCACATGCAGCCGAGAAAGGACACAACCAAGCACACAACCAGGTGAGCTTCCTTGCAAAGATCAAATATGTTGGCAGGTACAGTGAGTGCAGGGAAGAGCACTCGCCATCTTAACTTGTCAGTCACCTGCTAATTCCCAGTTACTTCCTAATGCACAAAGAATCGAGAGCCAGGGGCTATAAATAAGTGAGTTAACTATAAATAAATGAACTGGGCACGTCTTATGGTGTTGCTGAGGGAGAATAAGGAGAGCAGGCCCCACCAATGGTAGAGCTATGCTGGATGATATGAGGATGAAGGATTTCTGCAGCCTAAGAGTTGAGAGAGCCCTTCGAACATGTCACGAGAGAATAGATGTCTGCAGAGAAGGGTCCAGGGAATTCCCAGAGGGGACAGGGAGCTCAATTCGATGCCAGCAGGGTTCTTGACCTGAGTGACAGAGGAGAATTTCCGTGCAAGCCACACGAAGGCACAGACAGGTTCATGTAGGAAGGCTGATGCACATGGAGGGGAGAATCCGCACTGTCTCGAGAGTGAGCGGCCCTGGTTCGGGCTGGGCACCCCGTATTGATCAAAGGGCTCTATCAGGGGCAGGACAGGAGGTGGGTTCAGGATGGAGCTGCACAACTCCACACCCATTTTCCCTGCATTTGCCTATTTACCTCCATTTACAAGGGCCCAGGCCCAGATGGGCAGGCAGCTAAGTTTTCTCCATCTCAGTGGCTTGTGGGTGTCTCCTTGAGGATCCAGTGTTTCTCTCTATCCTACATCTCACGTCCTTACTTGGAATTTTGGAGTCTTTGGCCTTGGAGTGTTTTTTATTTTTAAGAAATATTTCATGCCCACGTTCCTGGATCCAGTCCCGGGACTGTTCACAATTTCCAGGTAACTTGAATCTTCTCTCTAACGGGAGGAGACGATACCCTGCCCAACGCTGAAGTCGCAGCCACGGATGCTTCCTTTTAAAAAGTCTCCGGGCAGTGCCTTGAGTTGGTGTCAAGATTCGTTCCAGAAAGAGGGGGTCGCACAGCCTGTCCTGAGGGGCAGCAGCCCTCGGGATGGACACTCTGCACACGTGGTGGCCAACTTGGAGCATTTGGGGAACCCAGCTGTCTGGTTTCTGGGGACGTTCATCTCCTGTATTTTTGACATCTCAACTTTGCAGATGATCCAACGGGTGGAAATTCTATTGTTCTGTGGCCTGGGGGTGGATATGGAGTAGGATGGCATCCAGGGGCCAGGAAGTCCCCAGGGTGGGACCAGTGTGTGCCAGCTCTGCCCCTGGCTGGTGCGGGACCTGGTGAAGCCACTTGTGACTGGACGCTGCAGCCCCTCTCGCCCTGCAAGTCCCTCTTGCCCACTTGGTTCTGGAGACGTGCAGAAGGCCCCAAGAGGGCTGAGGCGTGGACAGAACTCCAATGTGCGCA